CGAAGCTGAACGAGGCAGGTCGTGGTGACTGTTAGAAGTTACCATTATGACACCAAAACTGGTTTTTTAACAACACCCTTAAATCCTACTACCATTCAGGTTGGAATCAATTTACACAGGTCCTCTGAGCCCACCCTAGGCTGATGCAAGGTCAACCTAGAAGATGGTTCCAACTTCCAAGTTAAATTGGGTCAGTCAAGGTCATGTCCAAACAAGTTTTGAGTACCTCTAAAGATGGAAGTTCCTTAAAAGTTCCCAGGAGATCTTTGCAACTACTGAGTCATTATTTCAGTAGTCTGAGTGATGTGACGGGAAAAATGTTAAGATGAGATGCCCAAATATGATAAAAAAGATTAACCTGTATTTTAAAGACTATTTACAAGTAAAGTGATTTTCATATGTGATGTTGTACATACTGTGGTGTGCTTGTTCACCTTTAGCAGTTGCTCTTTACTCACCTTTTGTATGCCCACAGACTGACGAACATTCAGCTTCCTTATTCTTTGGAAGGTGTCCAAGTCCCACAGTTGAGCTGTGTCAGTGGAAGTGGTGATGGCATACTTGCCAGAGCCATGGACAGAGATGGAAGACACAGAAGATTCATGGCCTCTCATCCAACTAACTAGCTCCTGGGTTCCTGCAGAAGTTGATGAAAAAGATATGACAGCCATTCAAAGTGGAACAACTACTACTTTAGTCTTTATTGTCAACACTATGCTGTGAGAGACTTTTAAGCATAACTAGTATATAACCATTTGCCATCACAGCCCAACACACAGGAAACACAGGTATCAATCTTCATATAGGTATTATACCTTAGAGGCACAACCTTCTCCTCATCTCTAAATAACATTTTACAAATTATGCTCAGTTCTGCACAGAAAGCCAGCTTGCACAGACTTGATTCATTTAGCCTAAAAATCAATCTTAAAAAGCCATGAACAATGTGATCTGTTAAGTTCAGCATGTCTGACAGAATATCTGATGTGAACACCCACAGAAGCTGAGACTGAATGTTCTAGTGAGAATTCTGCACTTGTTTTTACTTGTGGACAGAATGTGTGAATGATTACACAACTATTTACAGGTGCAAAGAAAAAAGGTTTAATGACAACAGGCTGTGACTACAGAAAGGCAGAGTCAGGAAGCAACAGCTCATTAATTCTTTTAGAACCTTAAACATTTTTATGCTGTGCACTGCATTCTAAGGAAATGGCTCCTCTGACTACAATGTCTCCCACTTGTGACTGCATGACCACTAATCTTCCCTCAGCGACCAAACTGCACTGGTGGCAATTACACTGTTTACACTGGGTGGTTTGCCTGGCAGCCCATGGAGTGGCTCCAGCTACTGCTGTGGCATCAAAGATAGGAAATGGCCATAAAGCAGCTCATAAAGAGCAACAGTCAAACTTTCTGCTGTGCTTACAGACAATGGAGTGCTTAAAGCTGTCATCACCTGAGAGGCGACATGGGATTAGAGAGTGTCCTCTAAAGAAGGGGATGGAGCCCAACAGGTAAGAAATACCCTAAGGAACTGCCCTGGTTTGGGTGAGTACCATTCATATTTTAGAACATTCTTCAGTATGACTTGGTCTCTGGAAACAGCACCACATAACATGCAGTACTCTCTGGAGTAATAAAGATTTTTCTAAGTGCATCCAAACATCTAAGTTTGGTCTTGTTGTTGTTGAAAGGATAAGAAAGAGTGCAGGGGATTTCAGACCTTAACTCTGACTCCTCCTCTGTTTTGAGGAACATTGCGCTACATTAAAATCTTCACAGATAATCTCAAGCCCTAAAACTGCAGATGAGTGATTCCTACAGCTTTTAAAAAATATTTAAATACAGATAATAACTGGATATAATGGAGACATTACAAATGCATTTTCTGATAGGTAAAGAATAATTTATGAAGAATGAATTGTCCCTGCCCTTCACCATTTAACTTCTAATCAAGACAGAGACACACAGCTGTAATGTTAATTTTAAATATTGCTTTTCAATAAGGATACAGAATTACTTGAATACTCAAAAGTATTGACATTTCTTTTAGTGTACATTGTCTAAATGTTTGTACATTGTCTAAAACTTTGTTCAAATATTTTACTGTAAATATAATCAAGAATATGCATGCTAACATACTGACAACTGGTTTTGGCTTTATTTTAATACAGTACCTCATTCTAAGTAAACATATTAAAAACTGCTTAAAAAAAAGGTAACATACCTAACAACAATCCTGTGGTGGACTTCAGTTAAACAAATGCCTATGTGACTCAGTGGGAATAAAGAACTTTGGCAAAGCAAAGGGTTCATTTAGGTTCATTTACCCAAGGACTACAACCAACACGGGCTCAAACTTTTCAGACAGATGGCATGAAATACATAGTATAATTTCCATAAAACAAATTATTGAAAAATGTAAGATCAGAACTAAAATTATGTAAGTTTTCATGCCAATACAGATAGCATTTAAGCCTTGAAATTTCTCCTTACCTGTATCAAAGCACTTAACAGAATAATCTGCCAAAGCCACGAGGAACTCTGTCTTTCTGCGAAGATTAAATGCCAAAGCAGTGCAAGCCTGCATTGTTCTCTGAACAAGGTTGAACCTATTTAAAAATACACATTCTCATTGTGTTAGGAAGCTTTGGTTCATTTAATGTCAAGTGAAGTAATAATTTAATTGGTTTCAATACATTACACAGAGAGAAAAAAATAAACTCAGAAGACGGGAGTAAGGAAATAATATCCAATTATAATAAATCTAAAAATCAGTGCTAGTATTTTAAAACTCAGTAGTAAAATGTTGAAAGACTGGTTGATGTATTTCTGCAAATGAAAACACTAGGTCTAGTCTACTGTAATTTGTGGTAACTCACTGATCTGTACTGGCCCAAGAGTAACTTCTGGTGGCAGCCCTTAAATTCTATGGCATTGCTGTTCTTTTTACAGTTGCAAGCCTCGGATCTTTTTGAGCAGCTAAACTAATGAATTTAGGGAGCCTACACAAGGCACTGGGTTGAACTTTTAGCCCTGAGCAAATGATTACCTATTTAAAACTATCTAGTTAAAACCTGACCTGTGGGATCCTATCCAGGCAAGTTCCACACCCCTGAATGCTACAGATGTCTCAGACAATTAAAAAGCCTTGATAGACATATTCTTACCTGTTCCCATTCAAGTCAAAAACATAGATATTCCCTTGGCGGTCTCCAGCGAGGAGGGAATCCCCAGAACTGTCAAAAGCCACATTCAGAAAATGTATTGTCTTGGAATGGTACCCTTGGACACTGTGGATTATGTTCACCATAACTCTGTGAAGAAAGCCAGCAAAACAACCATGCTTAGAATCATTCTATTACCATTTATATCTCTAAGACATAGGATTAAAATGTTTCTATCTTATGATTTTACAATTCTGATTTTCCATGTTCTATGAAAAATCTCCCATGAAAACCATGTTATGCTACAAAGGAAGTAATTCACTTGGTTGGAAGCTGGGTGGGAGACATGTAAGGCAGATGGGGGAAATTCACCATTCACAATCCTTTTGTGTGGCTCCTGGTTACCTGATTTCCATTTTTAATGAATAACACTAATATACACTGATCTATCTGAAAGCCCAACTCAACACTCAGCAAGGAACCTGGCTCATCATCACCACTGCAAAGAAACATTCTAGAAAACTGAGAAGCTGTGCATTACTGTAAGAAACCAGTCTGTTTAGATGTGGGGAAAATCAGTTTTAATATCACTTCTTTTCACAGTCTTCAAAAGTATTGGGATTGTTAAGCTTGGAAAAGAGAAGGCTCTGATGTGACCTAATTGTGGCCTTCCAGCACGTGAGAGGAGCCTACAAGAAAGGTGGAGAGAGACTTTTTACAAAGGCCTGGAATGACAGGACAAGGATGAATTGCTTCAAACTGAAAGAGAGTAGGTTTACATTAGACACTGGGAAAAAAATTCTTTACTGTGAGGGTGGTGAGACAACCAGGCTCCCTAGACAAGTTCTGGATGCTCCATCCCTGGAAGCGCTCAAGGCCAGGCTGGATGGTGCCCTGAGCAGCCTGGTCCAGTGGAAGGTGTCTGGGGGGTTGGAACTAGATGATCTTTGAGGCCTCTTTCCACTCCAAACCATTCTATGATTCTATGAAGAAAGCCCTATTTATTACTATTCATCTGAGCTATTATAGACCAAAAGTTTCCTGTTTGCCACTTCTATCCTTGTATGGTGCTGCCCACATAAAACAGAGCTAGATGCAGAAATGGGCAGAATAAGCTGTAAGAGGAAGGGTTTTCCAGGAAGCAGGAGATTGTGATTTGGAAGATCTGCTATTCCTGGATTTATTGCCTAACAAGCCAATAATTTTGTATTATCACTTGGATGTGAATTCAAAGTTAAGCTAAACACCAAAACTGTGCCAGACACTGGCAGGCTGATTAAAGACTGCAGAGTACTTGCAGACCATAGTTATATGAGATGCTGCTAGGTCTGAGACACAGAATATGTTACCCAGCACCTTCATGGGGCTGGGGGATTTGTTCCAAAGTCTGAGTGAACACATACAGCTATGGTACAGCCTACAGATAAAACTAATTGCACCTTACTATTAAGCCCATGCTTTTCTTCAATAAAAGGGCCATAAAAATGAAATTAGAAAGATAAAATATTTTTAAGTGTAATTGAAATCTAGTGATGTTTGTGTGGGATTATGACATTAAAGGCCCTAACAAATGAAGTATGACTTCTGCTTCTAAAACCACCCTGAAACACAAGTACCTATCACTGCAGCTACAGCCCCCCCCCCAGGCCTTTTCAACGTCACTCTCTGCCTTTCAGAAGTTTCCCTGCAAGTGAACTAAGCCGGGAGAACAGTCAGGAGCTCACGGGGCAGCCTCTAGAGTCCCGCAGGACAGAGGCCCCCAAAGCAGCGTTTGTGCTGCTGCTCTTCAGCTTGGACCAGGCAGTATTTACACAGCACACCACACTGCGATTAATCTCCTGGAATTCTCCCGTGGCATTTTATTCAATACACCTGAACCAGGGTAAGTGCCCGGGCGAGCTGAGCAGCCTGAGAGCGGGGGTGTCAGCGCCTCCTTGGGGACCGGCTCCGCCTTCAGGAGCGCATGCCATTAATATCTGTGAGCATCTCAAGGGCGGGTGCCAAGGGCATCCGTGCCGGACTCTTCTCGGTGCTGCCCAGCGACAGGATGAGGAGCAACGGCCTTAAACCAAAACACCAAAGTTTCACCTCAGCAAGAGGAAGAACCTCACGTTGAGGATGGCAGGGCACCAAACAGGCTGCCCGGGGAGGTGGTGGAGTGTCCCTCTCCGGAGACATTCCAAGCCCACCTGGACCCTGCTCTAGGTGGCCCTGCCGTGGCAGGACTTGGAGCGGATGATCTCCAGAGGCTCCTTCCAACCGCAGCGATTCTATGACCCGAGGAGAACGCGCTACTTTCGTTATCTGACCGGCTATCCCCGGGCTGCCCCTTCAACCACCCTGCAGAGGCTCAGGTGGGCCCGGCCCGGCCCC